CCTGATCCAGCGGCATGGAGAGGTCCAGGTACTCCTGGGAGGGATGAAGCCCGAGGATGGGCTCAGGTGGGGACCAGACATCCCCGTGGGAGCACCCGCCCCGGGCAGGGTGAGGGTGGGTGCGGGCTCGTGTGTGCCATCTCTCCTACCTGGTTGGAGGTCATGGCCACGATCCTATCCAGGTCTTCCACCAGCTGCTTGAAGGTGGGTCTCTGGGATGGGACGGCGTGCCAGCAATCCCGCATCATCATGTACCTGGGTGGGCAGAGGGGACGCGAAGGCTGAGGCTGGAGCGAGCGGATGGGGACCCCCCACCCACAGGAGCGTAGCAGCACCCGGGGATGGCCACCAGCACTCGGGCCAGGACCAGCAATGATGGTATTCCAGGGATTTGGGGCAAATCCCCTGTGCGTAAGGATGGGAACTCCCTGCCCAGCACCCCGGCCTCTTTCAGGAGGAGGATGTACAGGGAGCTAGGCTAGTCCCTGCTCTGGGATCAGCCTGGGATTCGCAATAACAAAGGGAGATGCTGGTTATGGCAAACAGATTGAGCCAAAGGTTTTGCAGATCCAGGAACTGCTGGGAAAGCGACTCTGGCTGTCCCCCCCCCCGGCCCCTGCCTGCACCCCAGCCCGGGCAACGCATCCGCAGGCTCCCAGCCTCATGCTGCTGCTCCGGCTCGGCGGCACACGGGAGGGAAGTGGTGCCGGTCCCCGGGTGCATGGGGGGGTGTTGGGGTGCCGGCATACCCCTCCTTTGCCCAACCCAGCGCCGCACTCACAGCTCGTTGGTGCAGTTGCTGGGCTTGTCCATCCTGTGACCTTCCTTCAGCAGCTTGAAGAGCTCCTCGACGGGCACACCGGGGTAGGGTGAGCCCCCCAGCGTGAAGATCTCCCACAGCAGCACGCCGAAGGACCACCTGCCCGGGGCACAGACAGCGCAGATGCTGGGGTACCCAGCTCCATGGAGTGGGCACCCCCACTTCAGAGCTCTGGGTGCAGTTACAAGTCCCTGTGCTGGGAGGGAAGAGCACTAACAGCTTTGGCTTCGCTCTGCCGGAGTCACGGCGCCAAATGTAATTTGGATTCAAAATATTTTGCCTGCTGATGCTAATTATGTCTTCATTAAATGAAGATGGATGACACCTTTTGAGCTTCCCCTGTGGAGCTGGGCGCTGCTACGTGAGATGCAGCCAGGCGGGATGGGACATGGATGGCAGGGGGGTGCGGCAAGAAGGGCCACGTCCCCCAGCTCACGGCAGAGCCGCCGGCAGACAAGTGAGGGTTCCCCCTGTGTGGCCGTCTGGGCTTCCCAGTGTCCCCAACCCAGCCCAAGCCGGGCAGGGAGCGGGTGTCCCGCGGCCGCTACTCACACGTCGCTCTGGTGAGTGTAAATCCGGTCGAACAGAGCCTCTGGGGCCATCCACTTCACCGGCAGGCGACCCTGGGACACAAGAAAGCCCGACGTTGACCCTGTGCTGCCAGGGGGGGACAGCCCCCCACGACAGCCCCCCATGCCCACAGCATCACCAGAGCAGGTTGGGACATCCCCGGCACGGAGAGCACCATTGCCCTCGCCCACCCTGGCAAAGCCCCTCGCCCGCCACTCACGTTCGTTGTCTTCTTGTAGTAATCTATGTGGTGGATGTCACGGGCGAGACCGAAGTCGGCGATCTTCATCACGTTGTCCTCGGTCACCAGGACGTTCCGGGCCGCCAGGTCCCTGTGGATGCACTGCCCAAGCATGGGGCTGTCAGGTGGTCCCCAAAGCCCCTGGATGGTTCCCCATGATGAAACAGGCTGGGAGGGAAGGGCGCATCCCCCCAGAAGCCCAGCCGCCGGGCTCCCCATCCCACCGTCGCCCCCACCGGGGTCTCCTCACCTTCTTGGAAGCCAGGTACTCCATGCCCCGGGCCACCTGGTAGGCGCAGGAGACCAGGTCCTTGAAGGAGAGCTGCTCCTCCGGAACGCGGGTGGGGTTGTAGCAGTATTCCATTCCCGGGGGCCGCCGGGCTTGCAGGTACTCCCGCAGGTTGCCCTTGCTGGCGTACTCCACGATGACGTAGAGGGGTCCTGCGGGTACGGCAGAGTGAGCGGGCTGGAGCAGGGAACAGGGGGCTCCCAGCCCTGTGGATGCAGGGTCAGCCCCTCTCTGCGTGGACAGCAGCAAAGGGGGGCAGAGGGGACGCCCCCTCCCCGCTCGCACACCCTCACCGTCCTGCGTGCAGGCTCCCAGCAGGTTGATGATGTTCTTGTGCTTGCCGATCATCTTCATCATCTCCATCTCAGAGATGAGGTCGGACAAGTCCTTCTCCGTGGCATCCGCTAAAGCGATGGAGAAGGCAGCAGTCGGTTGGGGGGGGCAGGCTGGGACCCCCACACTGCACACACCCGGCCCCCAGGGCTGCGGCACCGTGCCGGGACGCCCCGTTATTGCCACAACTTACACTTCAGCATCTTCACGGCCACCTTGGTGACGCGGTTTGGTTTGTCCTTGTCGAGGCCGATGGCTTCTGCCAGCACCACCTGCCCGAAGCATCCTTCTCCCAGGGGCTTGCCCAGGATCAGCCTGGCGGGAGGAGAC